TTTTCGGTAAAAAATTCAGCCGGGTAAAGAATTTTCTACACGACCGGCCTTGCTCGCTACAAAATCGAGGCCAAAGAGCACGTTTATTCGAAGATGGTACATATTCATGTCACTTCACCTTACTATTTGAAATGGAGACCAACCCAAAAAATGCACTAGTAGTAGCCCACTAATCTTGTAAGTGAGTTAATTTTTCCTGTATAGACGATGTGGGATAATTCACAAGTGTATATTCTAACACGTCTCATCCCTTCATATGAGGTCCAAGCTCAACTGGACTGGGTGGCGAGTACGTTATTGCATAATCCCACGTAGGCTCAAGCCCAACTGGGCTTGGTGAAAGCTATGATACTGTGAAGAAACGGGAGTTGACGAGTGCGGTCCCATGGATGTAAAGTGCACCAAAGCAGGGTGAGCCTAGATGAGCCTTAGTGGGTTCCATCCTAAAACCAATTTGTGGTAGGGGGAGTAGCCACTAAGCTTATAAGTTAGACTTATTTTTCCTGTATAGACGATGTGAGACAACTTATAAGTGTATATTCTAACAAAAACTAGTATCCGACCATGTACATTTGTGGAGATATAAATAAAATATTATAAGTTATTTGTATGCATATAATATTGAAATTATAAGTTAGATAATAGTATTATATTTAAACATAGAATATTAGGAGTTATATTTATGTGTATAATATTAAAATTATAAGTGAGATAATGGTATTATGTTTTAAAATTTAATCATTAGTTAAAATAAATAGTACATAACGATTTGATTGCAAATGGATTACTATAATGATTGAATAAAATAATTAATAATATATTTTTTTTTTTTATTTTGAGGAACCATGATCAATTAATTAATTGAAAAAATTTAAATTTATTATAACAATTGCTTATGCAATTTTAAAATTTTTTACGATGATACTAAAATAAATTATTTTATTTTAAAAAACAATCGCCTAATCAGATAAAAATACAAAATATTATTTTTATTATAGATAACTTGAACAAAAGGTTTTACTAATTTTTATATTTATGTAACTTTCATATTTTTTTAGTGTAAAATTAAATTATTAATTTTAATAAATATTACTCCATATAATATAATAAAAAATATAATTATGACTCAATTAATATAACATGGAACGGTTTTCTCTTAATTAACCCAGAAAAAAGTGCAAGGAAATAGTTTATTGTTAATGCACTTTGGACAGGTGTATTGACACTGATTCACAAATAGCACTGTATTGACATGTGTCCTATAATAAATACACTTTGGACATGTGTCAATACATTAGAAATGTAAATTTGAAATGTTATCCACATTCACTAAAATTGGTCATAAGATCTTAAAAAAAAAAAAGGTTCATACTACACCTAAAAACTCCACCACAATGCTTTATTATGAACAGGAAAACCATATCATCAAGAACTAGAAAAAGAACTATTTGTATTTAAGTATTATAAGTAAACCTCCTTCTAATTCTCATTATTTTAAACAATCAATATATATATAATATATATCATAGTTTTGAGTCCCGGATCGACCCGGTGGGTCGATCCAGAGTCGGAACCGGTTCGGATGGGCAATTTGAACCGGACAACAAAGGACCCGGTCAAACTCGGTCAAAATTCGGGCTTGACTCGGTCGACCCGGGACATTGACCCGGCTAGGTCAACCCTGTT